AATAAATGGCGATAATCTGAACTATATGTCATGATGCCAGCAGGCATTTCAAAAAAAAAAAAAAACAGAAAATATCCCAAAGGCAAAATTAATGAACTTGCAACAAACATTAAGAAGAAAAATATTAGAGATGTGCACAAGTACATAGGAATAAATGACTTTAAGAGGGGTTACCAACCTAGAATTAACTTAGTGAGGATGGGAATGGTGATCTGCTTGCAGATTCCCAACAGTATTTTGAACAGGTTGAAGAAATACTACTTTAAGTTATTGAATGTACATAGGGCCATTGATATTAGGCACCTAGAAATACATATAGTTGAGTTGTTAGTGCCTTATTCTACTCCTTTTGTGTTTAAATTCCTTTTACAGCGTTGAAAAGGTATAAATCGCCAAGCAGTGACCAAATTCTGGCAAAACTTATTCAAGCAAGAGATGAAACATTACGGTTTGAGATCCATTAACTCACTAATTCTATTTGGAATAAGGAACAACTGCATGATCAGTGGAAAGTCTTATTGTACCAACTCACAGGAAGGAGAATAAAACTGACTATAGCAATTATCGTGGGATATCACTGTTGTCAACTCCATACAAAATTTTATCCAATATCCTTCTCTCAAGGTTAAGTCCATATAGAGATGAAATTACTGAGGATCATCAGTGTGGGTTTTGACTAACAGACCATCTACCGATCAGATGTTTTGCATTTGTCAGATAATGGACAAAAAATGGGAGCATAATCAGACAGTACATCAGCTACTCAGAGACTGCAAGAAAGCCCACAAATAGCTGATGGGGTACCCATGAAATTAGTTAGGACAATTAAAATGTGTTTAAATGAAACCTATAATAAAGTCGGTATTGGTAAACATTTGTCTGATAATTTTCCTATCCAAAATGGTCTAAAACAAGCAGATGCTTTTTCATCACTGCTTTTCAACCACTAGGAAGGTCCTGGGAAACCAGGTGGAACTGAAATTAAATGGAACATATCAGCTGCTGGTCTATGCTGATGGTGTGAATCTACTGGATGATAACACAGATACCATAAAGACAAACACAGAAACTTTAATCGATGCTGGTAAGGAGGTTGGTCTGGAAGTAAACACAGAGAAAACTAAGTGTATATTGCTGTCTCGTCACCAAAATGCGGGGCAAAATCATAACAATTGAGATAGTCAACACATGTTTTGACAATGTAGCACAGTTCAAATACATGGGAACAACAGTAACAAACAAAAATCTGATTCAGGAGGAAATTAAGAGGAGACTGAATTCAAGTAATGCTTGCTACCATTCAGCCCAGAACCTTTTATCTTCTCATCTGCCGTCTAACAACATAAAAATTGGAATATACAAAACCGTAATTCTGTCTGTGGTTTTGTATTGGTGTGAAACTCAGTCTCTGACATTAAGGGAGGAACATAGACTGAGGGTGTTTGAGAACAGGGGGTTGAGGAGAATATTTGGACCGAAGAGAGATGAAGTGACAGGAGGTTGGAGAAAACCGCATAATGAGGGACTTCATAACTTGTATTGTTTGCTAAGTATAATTAGAATGATCAAGTCAAGGAAGATGAGATGAACAGAGAATGTAGCAGGAATGGAGAAGAGGAATGTATATATTGTAGGAGAGTCATAAAGAAAAAGACCACTATGAAAACCAAGATGTAAGTGGGGGGATAATATTAAAGTGGATCTTAGAGAGATAGGCTGGGGTGCTATGGACCGAATTGATCTGGGTCAGGATGGGTACCAGTGGAGGGCTCTCGTGGACACTGTAATGAACGCAATAATTATGAAGTTCTTGAATAGCTGTATAACTGGTAGCTTCTGAAGAAGGGCTCAGCTCCATGAAATGTTAGTTATTGGATGTACACAAACTCTGGAAAAACTCAGTCAAGAAAATTCAACTGAGACGCCATTCACGGCCAGACTTACGCTTATGTTTAGGGTTCTGAAAACTGCACGTTAAGAAAACAGAATGAGAAAATACTGCAAGCTCAAAAGATGAAACTGATCAAATCACTGGCAGGAGTTACATGAAGAGACTGAATACCTAATGGAAAAATTGGGAGATGATACTGAAAAATATAGATTAAACTATAAAATACATGTGAAAAGTATGAACAACAAATGTCTACCTAAAAGCCTATTACCATTAGCTTCAAGGAAGTAGACAAATGGGCAAACTTATGAAAAGAATGTCTGATAAATTCATAGTCTTGGAACAGGCCAGTGGCCTAAAGTTTGGTTTTAAAGAAGAACAAGAAGACAAATTTCAAGTAATATTACTACCTTAATTTTCAGAGGCTACAGTGTTGATATTACTAATGGAAGGGATTTATGAAGTATACTGTTGAAATGGTCTCATGTGACATGATATACATACCACATTCCATCTCAACTGGTTCAGGTATTCAATTAATATTCAAGTTACTACCTCATCAATTTAAAAGGCTCAGTGCTGGTAGTACTGATGCGAAGGATTTATAAAATATTCTACTGAGATGGCCTCAAGTGGCATGATACACATATCAAGTTCCATGACAACTGGTTCATGCATTCAAGTAATACTTATGTTTTTTTATTGCTAGTAGGGTGGGACTAAGTCCCTTGTACTGCAGCCACTTCTGGTCTATTGTACCAGCACCAGATGGTAGGTGAGGGTGATTGTGGAGCAATTACTGGAACAAAGATTGGCATGGGAAACCGAATTAGTTGGAGAAAACCTGCCCCAGCACCACTTTGTCCACCACAAATCCCACTTGACCAGACCCCGCGATGGGAAGCCAGTGACTAACTACTTGAGCTATGGTGCGACCCAGCATTTAGGTTACTACCTCAACAATTTAAGAGGCTGAGGTGTTGGGGAGTACTGATGGGAGGGATTTATAAAGTATATGCCACTGAGATGACCTCAGGTGACATGATACACATACCAAGTTCCATGACAACTGGTTCAGGCATTGAAGTAATATTAATGTTATATAATAATAATAGTAATAATAATAATTTCATTACTTCAACAATTTCAGAGTGTGCAGAGTTGGTATTACTGATGGGAGGGATTTATGAAGTATACTGTTAGTATGAGCTCAGGTGGCATGATATACATACCACATTTCATGACACTTGGTGCAAACCTTCAAAAGTTGTTGGAGTGGGGGGATACACATAGACAGTAAATGAGCACATGAGCCTAATTCTATTTTTCCAAAACAGGGAAAGCAGGCTAAGAGTTGACTTCACATACCCCATATTTCAAAATATAAATCCTGTTTTCGGAAGCATCTACTTCATAGGCCAGCCTAGTGTACTACATATGAATTGATATTCTCAACATGTTACAATAAGGAATATTCTAATAATAATTTTCTCAAGATGATATAATTACCATATGCCAAGAAATATATCAAATTCTCTTATATTTCACTGGTTTTGTTTGGTCTACTTCCTGAATACAAAACCTTCGTGTCACAGCTCTACACTTTCAGAGCTCAAAATCTGCCACACGGCATATGAAAATAATGAATAATATCATGAACACATTTGAACATGGAACAAGAGAGATAAAGCATATTATATTATAAAATATCACCCCTGTCATTACCCTGACTGACTTCAGGAAAACACAGAAGCTTAACTTCTATCTGTGAGTAATAATCATCACTACAAATAATAAATAGGGCTCTTTTTGGGCTTCAGCCTTCCTTATAATATTCTGCCAGATTTGATCTGGTTTTCACTACTCTGGATTTTGAAACAGTAATTCTTTTACAGAGCGAGGTCATCAGCCTTGCATACAACCCCAAACCTGGAGAACCATGCCTTTGTATGTCTCCTAGTGACAGGGTAGCCCAGTTATAACTCCAGACACCAGGTTCCCTTTCCATCACCTTCTACAGCTCGTAGTGCTATGGCGGAGGTATTTTTACCTGCCTCCACAGGGTAAACATGGGATTAATAGTCTGACATTCTATTTCACCTGCAAACCTTCCAAATATAAAATACACACAGCATAAGCCACAAACGTTTAGTCTGACAACTTAGAATACAGAAATTGAACTGCCATAGGTTTGATCATAAAACATATTACAATATACTCGTATAACTGCTAAGTGTTCCAAGCAACTGCCTTTCCCTTACATAAAAAATCAAATCCAAAAGCATGAACAAGTTAATAATGATCACAGAGTTCTGGTACTGGTTTTGTACAGAGAATTTCTTCCTTAGATACAAATCCATCCCTCCTACAAACACCATTAGAAGTTTGTTTTGTTTTTTTTTTTTCAAAAATATCAAAATTTTCTTTTTTGTCACTGAAATTACTTTGTGCTTTAGATTTTACATATTACGTTTAATGTGTATCTGTATTCTACTGCATGTGACTGTTTGTCTCAGACATGATGTATGACAATTTTTATATCAAGCCCTACAGGGTGACTGTTGGATCAAAGAAATGTATTTTAATAATAATAATAATAATAATAATAATAATAATAATAAAGTTTTATGGAAACCATAACTGTTATACCAAAAAAATGTAAATTCTTATACAGAACAATAGTAGTTCTAATAATTCGTGTAAATATATCTTTGCAAAGTTCTGCGGAATAGTTTGATCTAGGTTTAGTGCCCTAAAATTACTGCAACTGCAAAATGAAATTAATTACTCTCACTACAGGGTTAGTACAACAGTACGAAAGAATGGGATGGGAAGCTTCGGTCTTGCCAGATTTCACGCTTGCTCGCTCCCTCTCTCTCTCTGGCCAACTTTTTCAACTTACAATCAGTACTTTTTCATATTTAAAACACATAATCAGCAGTGAAACCCACCTGCCTGACAGGTAATTCATACCATGAAAATCAAGCATAGAAGTAGTTTCTGGTCTCTTAGAGACAAACCCGAAACGCTGAAGAAAACCTCGCGGTTAAAACCTGTAGTAACCCCACACGTCTTCTTAACAATAATGGCATTATGAAATGAAACTTACCTTACCCCATCGGCAATCTTACAAATTCCATTCTCCACAACAGCACAAATAAGAGAAACACTTTACAGGACCAAAACTTGTATGACAAACACTCGCAACACAACACAGCAGGTCATTACCATTACAAACACATATCTCTAACTGCTTTCAGAAGCATGGCGCCATCTCGACGATCTCGACCATCTCGACGCGCCAAGGTTGACAACACGGAGAATTGCGGAGAAGATAGAAGGCATATATTGTATACGACGAATACCAGCAGCACATTAGTTAACATTGTATATTTGCTGTGTGTTCGGACCATTCGGACTTCGTCAATCGTCCGGTAGTTTTTAGAATACCGGATGATAGACAAAGTCCGAAAACCCAGTAATTCTGAGTCTTACACACATCGTCAGAACGCTTTAGAATATAATTGCATCTTTGGTCTTGCCGCTAGTTAGACAAGAAAACGTTCAATGCTATTCGCCATATTGTTACATACGTGACAGTTTTATTCATAACAGAAGTACAGTACTGGGAAAATCATATCAATTCAGTTTCCTATTAAATTATTCTTAACAATTTTCAGTTTAATTTATGAAAACCCAAATAAAAGGCAATAATTTCAATCACAATGTAATTTGAAACAGAAATAAAATAATTGTTTCCTGTAGATTTTAAAGGGTTCTGATGGTGTATAAAACTAAGAATTAGGGGGTGATTTTGAATACCGGACAATGGACAAAGTCCAAAAACCCATGAATTCTGATTGTTACCTCTTCTATTTGACTATCAGATTTCTGCTATCTGACACATCCTTACCAAATCTTACATCATAAGTGGTCACAATAAGTACAAGCACATAGGATTTGAGTTTCTCACAGCAGTAGTTATGAAGCGTACTGTCTTCTGGGAAATAGCGTCATGTAGTCAACTAAAAGTCAACTGATGTTTCAGAGGAACATCACCTCCATTGGTTGACTTTCAAAGAAGTGTACAGCATTATGTCCCAGAAGATGGTACTCAAGTAAAAGTAACTCAAAACTAACAAACTCTATCAGGCTCTTGGCAGCCATGGTGAGCAGAGCTCTGCCTGCTGCATGCATGGCTTATTCTTCAACCCCAAAGATGAAGACAGTATGTTCTAAAATGCCTGTGAACTTCTACTGGACTACATGGCATCACATCACAAAAGATGGTACTCTTCACTGTATCTGGTTTCTGTGTAAAATAGAAGTGGTGTGAGAATCAATTTTGAAATGTTTCCAGTATGAAAAAGATCACAAAATACTATGATGTTTTTAATGTTTGGTAAGTGAAACTTCTGGCTGTTTTTGCCTAAGCTGAATGCTGGCATACTGAGATATTTTCAGCATGTGATAGAAGTCAGTAATATAAACAAACCATCAAAACTTCCTCACCATGTCTAGATGGCTTTCCAGTCCCTTAAAAATGTTGATGGTTAATTTATATTCATTCATTCATTCATCAGTAATCTGTCATACGACAGGTCCACAGTCCTAAAACAGTTCCTCCACTCAATGCGATCTCAAGCTTTCTCCTTCAAATAAAAATATCCTTTTCTGTCCACAAAGTCATCCAGCATCTTCTTACATCTTCTTCCTCGTCTTCTGGTCACTTCTATCCGCCCCTCTGGTTTGTTTTGTCTCCAGAGAAAACATCTCGCATACATGATATCTATGTTTTTTGGAAGAGGCTATCCAGGAAAAGTGATAATGTGGTAGTCTTTCCATTTGTTTTCCACATCGCAGTACAACGGCCATTCAAACCACTCTGGTCACACCTGTTGCTATACGAACTTGAACCATCTCGAGCATCATTTGCTCTGTGCTTCAAGTCGCTGCTGATGATGCTGCGTCTGGCATCAGTTTTTGGTTTTTGGTGTCTCTCTTTGTCTGATTCCTACCCTTTGACCGGTCCAGCAAAGGAGGCCCTGCCAGTAGCTATGCTACTGCTGGCATAGCTCTCGGGGTCCTTGGCACACTCAAACCCCCTCACCACGATAAGGTGGAGACACCAACGAGGGGGAATTTATATTACTGTCAAGCAAAATGTTGAAGTCATGGGTTCTGGCAGGAAATTGATTTGTTGGGCACTACTTCCTCTTCTCTTTGACTGTTCTAAGTATTTACAAGTGTATCCAATTGATTGTTCAATTCCCCTTGCTTCCTTCCTCTTCTTCAGTGTCATGACATTCTGTCCTCTCCCTTACTTTTGCTTCTTCAGCATTCCATCCCAACACTCAGATTTTGCCTCAGACTCAAACTGAGACCAGAGTCAGTGTAAGTCAGAGTTACTTTACAACTGGCGGTTTACTGCCAATCAGTTCATTTTGGCACTAAGCCCCTAGAGGCTCAAGGCAAAATTCTTTTTTCCAACTGAAGCCTTGTGTTCATAGTCCTTATGTAACATCGTCTCTGATGAAAGGATGGATTTGTCTCTTATGAATAGGCTTCACTTTTGACAAGTGTCACTATGTACAAGTCCTCTGTCAGTCCAGGTTTTGCAAAACAGATCATGTCTATCGTATTTACCCTATGCTACAATGACAGCTTAGTCACCTGAACGATCATAAGCTTGACCACCCCCAAGTTTAAGCCCCTTATATTTTCTATGTCTAGCTTCACCTTGCCCTATGCTATGAACATGTTCAACCTTGTGATTTTGTATGATTTCTGGTTGTGTTCTGCACAATTTTGTTATATAATCATATGCATATGCAAGATGGAAAGCCATGTGCAAATCACAGACCAGCATGCTGCATCTTGGAAAATTTCCAATGGTGTGGAGAACCTTGTTTTGCAGGTACTGCAATTTTAAGAGGTAGGTGTCTACCGCTAATTCCCAGCTGGGGCAAACATAAGTCATTACTGATCTAATCACTGTTTTACAGAGGGTTAGTTCAATGTTGGCACTTAAAACACTCACTTGTGAATAGGGAGTAGATTCTAGTAAATGTTCTGAAGGCTTGACTTCAGTCATTTCTATGTACAGTCTTCATGTAATCCTCTTATCAAAGGTTATGCCAAGATAATTTACATGAGTGACAAAGGGGATATTATGTCCATTCAATGTAACATGAGCCTCAATCAAAAACATTTTTCAACGTAGTGAATTGCATACATACACATATATTCTTACCTAACATCTTCCAGTAAGGTTAGTTTTCCATAATAATTAAATTCTTGGTGATCAGTATAAATCCAAGCATCAGAAGGAAACGACTGATCGTTTTTCTTTAATTCAGCAATTTTCTTGTGAAACGAACTTTTGTGACTGATCTTCAAGAGGAAATAGAAGGAAATAAAGAATATGCCTGGACATACAGAAAGTAACGACTATATTTTTGGATGTTACAGACTACAAATAAGTACAGTACTGGATATAAAAATATTACAGTAAGTTAACTATCAAAATATTACAAGAGATAAAAGGGGCATGCTGGTTGAGGCACTATGCTACAAGCCAGAAGGTCGCGGTTTCGATCCCCAATGAGGTTATTAGATTTTTTCAATTGACCTAATCCTTCCAGCTGCACAATGGCCCTGGGGTTGACTCCATCTCTAACAGAAATGAGTACCAGGAAACTTTCTGGGGTGTAAAGGGTGACATGTACATAGGGCTGACAACCTTACTGTCACCTGTGAGTCAACTGTCTAAGAGAAAATGTGACAGCCTCAATATATCACAACCCTATGAGCCTTCACAGTCTGTTACCTTCTCACTAGAGATAAAACAACTATGTGGAGTAATCATCAAAACAGAACAAAACATAAAAGTGCTACACACATTTATCACTAAAACTGCTATAAACTCAACTTGAAGCTGAAGGACAATGGCACCAGTTTAAGCCATTCATGTTAAACGAATATTATATCCCAAATTATATGGGTTTACTTACCTTTACTTACCAGTCTCTACAGCAGCAGCAAACACGACATAGTTATTACTGATATTCAGATTACTATTATCTTCAAGACAAATTAGTAAATACTGTCACATGTAAGGGGAATGCATGACTAATAATTGCGGATTCTAGATTGGATGATTAGGTTTATTTGATGTCAGTATCACAATTACACTCAATTATAATAAGTTCACACATTTTCTGTGTTCTCTAGTACTTCATTTCTGAACACATCGACTTCACTTCTAAGCTCTGCCTTCATTTCTGAACTCTTGGCTTCACTTCTGCGCTTTGCCTTTACTTCTGTACTCTGAGCTTCACTTCTAAGCTCTGCCTTCATTCATGAATGCATTCTGTTTCATATCTGCTTGAAGTACTGTATAGAGGACACCAAGTCAGACAGTTCTGTATTTCATATCTGTGGTAACTGTGTGCCTAAGCACATGTTACGATGGAAACACCTCCAGCTCCGCAGTAACCTATATGCCTATTGAGTGTTTTTACGGAAGTGCACGTACAATAATCCCATTGTAAACTGTTCACAGGACGTGTGCTGTTAATACTCATTGCCTAGGAAATCAACTCTGATCTGACTCCACTATTCCAGCTTTCAGGCATCATGTCACATTGCTCCCTACTTAAGACTGTTTGTCCCTAACAGCCTAGTGGTATATCACCTTTCTTTTCTTTTGAGGGCTGTGCTTGCGGTGTCTGCAGTCGATCCTGCCGTCCTTCCCATGACTCATTTTTTCCTCTGCGGTGGTGTCTTCAAACGCTACCACTGCTCCCTCCTTATAGGCGCTCATTCCAAGTGGCTCCATCATAAGGTTCCAGTCGTCGTCGTCGTCGTCATCGTCGTCATCCAAAGTTTTTACCTTCAAGCAGTTTGTGGTAACCATCCCGAGCGGCCTGTGCCTGTGCCTCCACATTACCAGCTCCTGCTCAGTGTGCAGTTTCTTTTTCCATTTTCGAGGGGGCCATCTCCTCCACATTGTCCAGTTCACCATTCTTTGTAACTCACTGGACATCCCATTTGCTTGTGTCATGAATTCCAGTTATAGGGTCATTTTGAGGGTCTTGTAGGTCAGTCCTCCTCTTCCCAGATACATTTGCTTCTTTAAGCCCAAGATCCTTATTTCCTCTAAACTTTTCAGTTCTGGCTGGCATTTTTTCCTGAATGTCCATCCTTTAGGCCTTCCTCATTCCATCTGCTTCCTGGTCCAATATTTCCTGATGAAATTTCTCCCAGGTCATGCCACTCCTCCACAGCAGGTCTTCCTCATACTGGCAGCTGTCAATTATCTTCCATGATTCACAACTTCTCTGGTTTGTTTCCTTCAGCTTCTGGCAGTGCTCAACAGCCAGATTCCGGTCCCTATGCTTCCTCCTCAGTCCTCCAACTAGCATCACTGTGGCTTCTTCCTTAGGGACGTCGTTCTGCTTCAGGTTCCATGCCCACTAAGGTTGGCTCCTCACATTCCAGCCATGCCTCTGTCTTTCCTTGGCAGGCCATCATGTCCACTATCCAGGCATTAAGTATGGATCACATTTCATTTAGATTCACATCTGTTTTTGGCTGGCTATTTCTTCCTGGTCGCTTTTTCTGTCAACCTCCATTCTGGAGACTAGAGAACTTATCTGACTCTCCATTCTTTCTTAGTAAGCCTTTGTACAGCGCCATAGCTCAGGCAGTTAG